GACCTTACTACCCTCTAAATGGGCCTGCCTCTGTGGCTCCAAGTGCACCTTCTGCCTCTCCTTCCACTGTTTCCCCAAGTCCTTGAGCTCTCAGATCAGGCTGTTGGGAGGTGGAAGGTCCCAGGCATGAAGCCCAATTGCACCCAGATCTGTGCCCAAGTTAGGGGCTTATTCCAGTCCAGACGCAGGGAGGAAGGAGAAGTGGATGGAGTTTTGTCATCTATGGTCCAACCAGATGAGCAATGCCTGCTACGTTCATAACACTTCCGTTTGGGTAACTACGTCTCTCTTACCTCCTTCCCTGTATTCCCTTCCCCTCCCCCCTCCCTTCTTCTCTCTCTCACGTTGAAGAAAAGTCACCCAACCATCTTCCAGAATTGTTTTTTATCTGAGCCACCCTAGGATTGGAGCCAGAGGCCACCTCATACCCATTTAATGTTGCTCCCCATTCCCCCTTGTCCTTACCCCTGGCAACCACCAATCTGCATTCCGTCTCCACGGATTTTCCTATTATTTTAGACATTTCGTATGAAGGGAATCAATCCTACCATATGTGGCCTTTTACGTTACTTTCGTCTTTCACTTTGCATATTTTTGAGATTTATTGACACTGTAGAATTTATCAGTACTTCCTTCCTTTATAGAGCTGAATACTATTCCACTGTGCGTAGATCCCACAACTAGTTTATCCATTCATCTGTTAATGGACCTTTGGGCTGTTCCCATCTTTTGGCCACTGGGAATGGTGCTGTTACAAATATGTGTATACACATATTTGTCTTGAGTACCTGTTCTCAGTTCTGTGGGGTAAGGACCTAGGAGCAGAATTGCTGGGTCAAAGGGTAATTCTATGTTTAACTCTCTGAGGAACTGTCAAACTGCTTCCCACTGCGGCTAAACGATTTTATGTTCCTATCGGCAATGTAACGAGAGTTCAGATTTCTCTACCTCCTCTCCAATCCTTGTTATTTTCCACTTTTCTTTTTATTACAGTCATCCTAGTGGGAGTGAAGTGATATCTTGTAGTTTTAATTTGCATTCCCTTGGTGAACAGTGATGAGCATCTCTTCGTGTGCTGATTGGCTGTCTCTACATCCTTTTTGGAAAAGTGCTCAGATACTTTTCCCACTTTTAAATTGTAGTGTCCTTTCATTATTGAGTTGTAAGAGTTTTTCAGCATATTCTGGATACTCATCCCTTATCATATATGTGATATGCAAATATTTTTCTCCCATGACATGATTGTCTTTTCACATCCTTGATATTTTGTGTGTAGTACATAGGTTTTCAATTTTGACAAATTCTATTTTTTTGTCTCTTGGGCTTTTGATGTCATAGCTAAGAAAACACTGCCTAAGCCAAAGTCCTTAAGATTTACTCCACTGTTTTCTGCTAAGAGTTTTACAGCATTAATTCTTATATTTAGGTCTATGACCAATTTGAAGTTAATCTTTGGGTACAGTATGTGGAAGGGATCCCTCTTGTTCTCCTTCTTTCTCTCCTCCATGTCCTTCTTAGTCTCTTTTTGCATACAGACACCCAGTTTTCCCAGCACCATTTGTTGAAAAGATTATTCTTGTCCTTATTTGTCATAGCACTTTTGTTGGAATTTAATTGACCATAAATATGCGGGTTTATTTCTGGACTGTTGATTCTGTTCATTGATCTATATGTGCATCTCTTAGGTCATTACCACACTGAATTAACTACTGAGGCTTTGTAGTAAGCTTTAGAATCATGGAGCGTCAGTTCAAAAATTTTGTTCCTCTTTGCTTTGGCTATTCTGAGTCTCTTACATTCCAATATGAATTTCAGGATCAGCTTGTTAATTTCTGCAGAGAAACCTGCTAGAATTGTGATAGGGATTGCATTGAATTTATAGGTCAACTTGGGGGCACTGGCATCTTAACAGTATTGTTTCTCAATTTATGGACACGGATGTAGTTCAATTTATTTACATGTTCTTTAAATCCTTTCAACAGTTTCATGGTTTTCCGTGTACACGTTCTGCATTTCTTTTGTTAAATTTATTAACAAGTATTTTATTATTGTTGGTACTGTTGTAAGTAGAATTATTTTAAGTTTTTTAAAAAAGATTTTATCTATCTATCTATCTATCTATCTATCTATCTATCTATCTATCTGAGAGAGAGCACAAACAGGGGGAGTAGCAGGCAGAGGGAGAAGCAGGCTCCTCAATGAGCAAGGAGCCTGATGTGGGACCCTGGGATCATGACCTGAGCCAAAGGCAGATGCTTAACCCACTGAGCCACCCAGTTGTCCCTATTTTCTTAATTTCAATGTCAGATGGTTCTTTGCTAATGTATACAATGGGTTTTTATATGTTGGTCTTGTACCTTGCAACCTTGCTTACTGCGCCTGTTAGTTCTATAGTGGTTCTATAGTTCTTAGTAGCTTCCTTAAGCATTTTTAATGTACAAGATGATCATGTCATTTGCTAACAGAAATAGTTTTACATCTTTTTTTCCAATCCGATTTTTTTTTCTTTTCTTGCTTAATTTCTCTGGCTTGAACCTCCAGTGCTGTATTAAATTGAATGGTGAGAGTGGATATACTTGTCCTGTTCCTGATGTTAGGGGGGAGCACTCAGTCTTTTGGCATTACAGCAAGCTGTGGGTTTTCTTGTAGATACCCTTTATCAGGCTGAGAAAGCTCTCTTCCTTCCCAGTTTGTTCTTTGTTTTTGTTCTTTTTAATCATGAAAGAATGTAGATTCTGTCAAATGCCTTTTCTGTATCATTTGAGATAATCATGTTTCCCCCCACCATATTCTACTAATAAGGTTTCTTATGTTGATTAATTTTCATATGTTGAACCAACCTTGCATTCCTGGGATAAATCCCACTTGGTCATGGTGTAGAATTCTTTATACAAGCTGCTGGATTTTGTTTGCTAGTATTTTTTTTTTGAGAATTTTTTAGTTTATATTCATAAGAGATATTGGTCTATAGTTTTCTTTTCTCGTGGTATCTTTGTCTGCTTTTGATATCAGGGTAATATTAACCTCATAAAGAGAGTTGGAAAGTTCTGTTATTTCATTTTTTTAAGTTTATGAATGATTGGCATTAAAGATTTTTTCTTGGTCATTTTAGCTAAAGGTTTATTAATTCCGTTAATTTTTTCAAAGACCACACTTTTGATTTTATTGAATTTTTGTTTTTTCTCTTCTCCCACTTCATTTATTTTCTTTGGTATCTTCACTATTTCCTTAGTTCTTCTCCTCTGGGTCTGTTTGCTTTTATTTTTCCAGTCAGAAGACTAAATTATTGCTTTGAGAGCTTTCTTCTTTCATCACTTAGGTGTTTATGTCTATAAAGTTCTCTGTCATTACTGCTATAAGCTATATGCCATATGTTTTGATACAGTGTGGTTTCATTTTCATTTGTCTCAAACTATTTTTTATTTTCCTTTGTGATTTTTTTTCTTGATCCACTGGTTATTTTACTTAGGAGTTGGGTTTTAAATTGCCACATACTTGTGAGTCTCCCAAATTTCCTTCTGTTATTTATTTCTCATTTAGTTCCACTGTGGTCAGAGAACATACTTTGTAGGACTTCAATCCTTTTACGTTATCAAGGCTTTTTTAAATGGCCTAGAATATAGCATATCCTGTAGAATGTTACGTGCGTATTTGGGAAGAATGTGTATTTTGCTATTTTGAAGTGTTCTACAGATGTCTGTTAGTTTTAGTGGGTTTCTAGTGATTTTCCAAGTATTCCATATTCTTTTTTTAAAAGATTTTATTTATTTATTTTGACAGAGAGAGAGAGAGAGAGAGAGAGAGACAGTGAGAGAGGGAACACAAGCAGGGGGAGTAGGAGAGGGAGAAGCAGGCTTCCCGCTGAGCAGGGGCCTGATGCGGGGCTTGATCCCAGGACCCTGGGATCATGACCTGAGCCGAAGGCAGACGCTTAATGACTGAGCCACCCAGGCGCCCCAAGTATTCTATATTCTTGATGACCATCTATCTGCCTTATTGTTCTATTACTGAAAATGAGGGTGGTGAAGTCTCCAGCTAGCATTGCTGAATTGTCTTACCTTGTTTGTTTAGAACTCAAAACCTTTATTTGTGCCTTAAAGAGGAAGAAAAGTGATTAGTAATCACAGGCATGATGCAAAAGGACTAGTTCTTACAATATCCCAACAGCATACCCAAACATATTTCCCCATATGTGCATGACTAATACTCACTAAATTCCAATGACAAAAACTGTATTATGCCTAAGTCACTGGTAAAGAACTGAACTATTGTGCCAACATATTTTTAAACATTAAAAAAAAAAAAGCCCAGAAGCCAGAAAAATCCCAAGGGCAAAAAGCGTAACGGATTTTAAACTTTTAAAGTGAAATTTAAGGGGAAGTGGGACATGATAAAAAGCCACTGTTATTACTTAGCAATTCAATAAATGCATCTCACAAACAGCTATTATCATAGAAGGCTTTAAAACCTTTCCCTGAAGTTTTATAAGCAGACCACATCTAGTAAAGGTCCCTCCTCCCCCAGTTTTATTCCCCAAAATGATTTTGGCTGGTACTTTCCCCTCTAGTAGTGGATCATTTTTTTTAGGAGATTTTATTTATTTATTTGAGAGAGAGAGAGAGAAATAGCATGAGCGTCAGGAGAGAGGCAGAGGGGGAGGGAGGGAGGGACAAGCAGACTCTGTGCTGAGCTCAGAGCCTGACATGGGGCTACATCTCATGACCCATGAGATCATGACCTGAGCTGAAATCAAGAGACGCTTAACTGACTGCACCACCCAGGAGCCCCTGCTACTTATTATTATTATTACTATTATTATTAAATATTTTATTTATTTGAGAGAGAGAGAGAGAGTGAGTGGTGGGAAGAACAGAGGTGGGGCTTGATCTCACAATCCTGAGATCATAACCTGAGCCAAAATCAAGAGTCAGATGCTTAATGGACTGAGCCACCCAGGCGCCCTGTTATTATTAACATTATTATGATCTGCCCTCTAGAACCATACCCTCTTTGGATCCTCACAACAACCCCCTGAAAAGAAATTGCAACTGTTGCTCTCCTCTGATTCCCTTCTGGAGTTTAAGGAGCCTGTGCACTTCTGCTAGGTCATGTGACAACTGTGAGGCTGATTCCAAATAGCTTTCCACAGAGTAAACAAAGTGGTTTGGGACAGAATCTCTTGAAACTTCTAAGGATAAGGTACTTGGGAAATACAGAAATACCAGGTGTTTTGTTGGGGAAAAAGCTTAAAATAAATGGAGAGAGCCACCCTCTCTGATTGCACCTTAACCGATAATGCCCAATCATGCCGAAGGCCAGCAGCATTCTAGAACCACAACATGGAGTGATCCTCAGAGATGCCTTCACTATCTGATACGCAGTAGCCCAGGAGGGGCCAGAGGTTATGGAATAATGGGACATTTTCCATTTGCAAGTGTAGAAGATGAAACCATAGCCTCACCTCCTGTTTCATCCATATAATCCCATTGTTACCTGCCTCTACAAGCTTTCAAAATAAAGACAACTGCGGAATATGTGAATCACTACCCCAGTCATGTGAGTGCATCTCTAAAATCCCTTCATGCCCCATTCCTTCTTTCCCATCTCCTGTATCTCTCCAACTCCATCCACAGTCAGGGAGAGTCCAGAAGCCGCAATACAGGTAAGGGGAGCTCCACCTCCAAGACAATTCAAGCCCAATCATATCCCCAAAGCATCTCTGCACCCAAATTCTCTCCTTGTCAATCTCACCTCAGCTTCCTTCCTCTTCTTCTTCACCCTCTCGATATCTTTGACACCTGCCCCACCCTCTCTCCCAACTGGGCAACTTCACTGCATTCTTAGAATCCTAAGCTATGGCATCCCAAGAGTTTTCCCTGCATTCTCTCCTGCAGGGAAAGACAGCTGCTCAGGCCCAGCTGTCTGAACTCTCACCTCCTTCAGGAACTAGACCCTATGCAGAGATGGCCCCAAACCGAAGCCTGTAGAGAAAATCGGGGTGTAAGTCTTCCCCATACTGGCCTGTCCTTCCTGAGGTCAGTCAGCCCAATGGCCACATTCGAGAAGCCCCATCCTCAACCTCCTTTCCTTCTCCTCCAGCTCCTGTCTGTGTGTTAGCCTTCCTTCTCCTCCAGTGCTCAAAGACAGTCACAGGTGAGTACAAGAATGGGGAGGAGTGAAGAGGGACAGGGCTCCCCTTGGGAAGTGGGGTCATGGTTCACAGAGCTCACACCAGCAATGTCTGCTCAGACGCCCCTACTGGCCCAGAGGCGTGGCTGTGCCATCAGGCGCCCAGGTGTGGGGACAAGATCTACAACCCCTTAGAGTACTGCTGTCATGATGACACTATCCTGCCCCTGAACTGGACCAACCTCTGCGGCCCCAGCTGTACCTTCTGGCCCTGCTTTGAGCTCTGTTGTCCTGAGTCCTTTGAGGAGAAGTAGGTTATAAAGTTGAAGGTTCTGGGTGTAAATGCTCAATGCTATTCCTCCCCCATCTCTGGGGACTATGAGAGGTAAGGACCTTGCCCCTGGCTATGGAATGGGGGTGGGGGTGGGGAGAGAAAAAGGAGGCAGGGAGTTTGGGTGTCCAGGCCACTCCCCTTGAGGAAACCCTGCCCACTTAATCTCCAGCAGTGGTTCAACTCTTAACATTCGTCTCCTTGCCTGCGCTTCATAATTTCTTGGTTCCTCCTTCTTTGCAGCAGAAAGATGTTTTCTCATTGAGAAAGATACCGAAGAAAATCAATTTCCCCTACGGCGGCTTGGAAAGGAAGCTGGGGCAGGCATCGGAGTCTGCGCGGTGAAGAGCCTGGGGTTCACACCTTTGAGAGGCCTTGTCTGACGGCCATGTTCCCAAATGCTCCATTTTATGGTCTGCCCACTGTCTCAGTCATTGCTCCTTGACCTCCTGCCCCTCCATCCTCATTCTCCACCCTTGCTGATACGTGTTAGTCAATCACCTCAGGGAGGTGCCCTGTCCCGGAGGCACCCTTGATTCTTGACTTGATCTAGGAAACACCTTTTGTGATTAAATATCCATGGGCTTCTGTTGCAAAACTAATATATTCTTCAGACCCTAACTTATCCAGAGAAGATTTTCCAGCAGGTACCAGACTTGCTTGGACTTCTTCTGTATGGCCTCCTAACTTAAGAGATATGACAGATGCCAGCAGGCCTTGTTGGGCAACTCCTAGTTGCTGGGTTCATTATGCTTCGAGTCACTAATGACATGTCAGTATTTGCTTTATATATTTAGGTCCTCCGGTGTCAGGTACATAGCTATTTACAATAGTTATATACTCTTGATGAAGTGACTCTTTTATCCTTATAGTATGACCTTCTTTCTCTCTTGTTAGTTTGGGAGGGGACTTGGGGGGGGGGTTGATCTCTTTTACAGTTTTTGACTTAAAGTCTATTTTGTCTTATATAAGTATAGCTACCCCTGCTCTCTGTTGGTTTCATTTGCATGAAATTATCTTTTTCTGGGGCGCCTGGGTGGCTGAGCTGTTGAGCGTCTGACTCTTGGTTTCAGCTCGGGTCATGATCTCAGGGTCATGAAGTCGAGCCCTGCATCCAGCTCCATGCTCAGCATGGAGTCTGCTTGAGATTCTCTCTCCCTCTGCCCCTCCCCTCACTCATGCTCATGGACTCTCTCTCTCTCTCAAAATAAAATAATAATAAAAAATTACCTTTTTCTGTGCCTCCACTTTGAGCCCACATATGTCCTTAAGGTTATTTTTAATACTTTTGTCCTTCAACCTTTATACTAGAGTTAAGTATCTTATTGACAGCATATAGTTGGGTCTGGTTTTATAACCATTCAGCCACCCCATGCCTTTTGATTTAGAAATTAATCTCTTTACACTTAAAGTAATTCTTGACTACTATGCCATCTTACTGTTTCATGGTTGATTTCTGGTTGATTCCTTGTTCCTTTCTTCCCCTGTTTCCTTTCTGAATTGATGATTTTCCATAATGGTACACTGTGATTCCCTTCTCTTTATCTTATGTGAATCTACTTTAGGTTTTTACTTTGTGATTGCCATGAAGCTTACATAAGACATTTTATAGATGTAACAGTCTACTTAAAGCTGATAACAACTGAACTTTGAGGGCATACAAAAATTCTACCATTTTACTCCCCCTCCAACATTTTGTGTTTTTGATGACATAGCTTACCTCTTTTTGTATACTATATCCATTAACAAATTATTGTAGCTATAGTTATCTTTAACACTTTTGTCTTTTGACCTTAAACTAGAGTTAAGTGATTAACACACCATCCTATTGCAGAATTAGAGTATTCTGAATCTGACCCTATATAGTTGACCCTTGAACAATATAGGTTTGAACTGTGCAGGCTGACTTATACATGGGTTTTTATAAAAAAAAAAATACAGTATAATGCTGTAAGTTTATTTTCTCTTATGACTTTCTTAATAACATTTTCTTTTCTCTAGCTCACTTTATTGTAAGAATACAGTATATAATACATATAACAGACACAAAATATGTGTCAATTAGCTGTTTATGTTATCAATAAGGCTTTCAGTCAAAAGTGGGCTATTAGTCGTTAAGTATGGTTTTATGTCACTGGTTAATGTCCTTTCACTTCTGCCTGAAATACTCCTTTCAGCATTTCTTGTAGGCAGGTCTACTGGTGATCAACTTCCTCAGCTTCTGTCTGGGAGTCTTTCTCTCACCTTATTTTCTGAGGGATACCTGTGCTGGGTAAAGTATTCTTGCTTGGCAGGTTTTTTCCTCCAGAACTTTGAATATATCATCCATTCTCTTGTGGCTTGAAGAATTTAAGCTGAAAAATCCATTATAGCCTTATTTGTGAGGATTTTTTTTCTCTTGCTGCTTTTAAACTTATCTTGACCTTAAAAGAAACAGAAATAAAATAAAACTCCCTCGATTTTAGGCAGTTTTATTAAAATGTGTTTTGGAGACCATTTCTTTGGGTTGAAATTCTGGGGGTACTTAGGAGCTTTGTGAACTTGGATGCCTGGCCCTACTATTATTGTACTTAAGTTTATTTCCCCTTTTAGTTCTGTCAGTAGTTAAGAGAAATAAATGAAATGAAGACTAGAAAGATAATACAAAAAAAATCAATGAAACTAAGTAGATTATTTGGAAAACAAACAAACGGACACAAATGACAAACCTTTCACTGAACTAATGAAGAAAAAAAGAGAGGACTCAAATAACAAAAGTATAAATGAATGAGGATGCATTACAATTGACACCAGAAAAATACAGTGGCTCTTAAAAGACTACTGTGAACAAGTATATGCCAACAATTTGAATAACCTAAAAGAAATTAATACATTTCTAGAAACATACAATCTACCAAGACTTAGTCATGAAGAAACAGAAATGATGAACAGACCAATAATGACCCGATGGTTTCACTAGTGAATCCTATCAAACATTTATTTATTTATTTATTTATTTATTTATTTATTTTGACTAGGCTCCATGCCCAGCATGGAACCCAGTGTGGGGCTTGAATTCATGACCCTGAGATCAAGACCTGAGCTGAGATCAAGAGTCTGATGCTTAACTGACTGAGCCACCCAGGCAACCCCATCAACCATTTAAGGAAGAATTAACACCCATCCCTCTCAAACTCTTCCAAAAATCTGAAGGGGAGGGAATTATTTCCAAACTAATTTTACAAGAATAGCATGACCCAGATACCAAAGCCAGACAAGGACACTAAAAGAAAATTACAGACCAATATCCCTGATATAACAGATGCAAAAATCCTCAACAAAACAGCAGCATATGACAATATATAAAAAGGATCATACACTATGATCAGATGGGATTTATTTTTTTTTAAGTTTTATTTATTTAAGTAATCTCTACACCCAACATGGGGCTTGAACTCATGACCCCAAGATCAAGAGTTGCATGTTCTTCCAACTGGCGCCCCCAGATGGGATTTATTTTTGCAATGCAAAGATGGTTTAACATATGGAAGTCAAAAATGTGGCACACCACATTAACAAAATGAAGGACAAAAAAGAACAAATACACACACACACGCACACACATATATGCAGAGAGATTTCTAAGAGACCTTCTGGTGGGAATGAGGGTTCAATAGAGACACAGGTATCAAGATAGTGTGGAGGTCCTCTCTGGGAAGACGTAAGAGGACAATTCTAAAAATATCTGTTTCAGTCTTGCAAAATACCATGCATTGGTTTCCAGAGCCAAGAGAATGAGACAGCCACCCATAGAATACATTTGTGAAATGTGGTCTTAACTTTCTGTGGCTCTTTCCTTTTATGTTGATGGGAAATGTATTTGTGGTAGAATTCTGGGTAGGAAAAATGCAGGCAGTTCATTGACTCAACACATTTATTGATCTGCTAACAGTGTGGAATGCTAAATGATAAAGAGCTTGTTTGATTTCCAAAAGCAATGGGCCTCTAGTAAAGGGGCCCAGGTGGGATGAAATGGCCATTCTGGCTACGATGTGGGGTGGAGTCAGGGGAAATATGAGGAATAGGGTAATATCAGTGGAGTGACAGGTGTGGGTGGGTTCAAAGTGTCTTTGGAATTATTTAGGCAGTTGTGCATGGCTTGTCTGAATCCAGTGACAGAAGTAACCAGTAGGAAGTGGGAATGGACTCAGAAAGAATTAGCACTGAAAAAAACAGGGACTGATGTTGCAGCTTAACTTAAAAGGGAAATCTTAAGTATGTGAAGGTTATCACAGTCTTTTGTTTGTTTGCTATAACAGCAACAAACATTTACCAAACCACTAGGTTCTTGGCTGCAGGAGTACTTGTTATCAGAGTTCATTATCCGGGTCTTGCAATTACAAGACTTTGTGGGGAAATAAAAGCTGTTGTCACAAAAATATTAAACTGACTGTTAATGCAGTAGTCCCCAAGCATGTCCCTACTTACTACTAGTGTGAATCCTCTCTCATTACAGGAATGTCCTCTTTGTGACCCTCTGATGCAAGGTGAAATTGCAGATCTTACAAAATATGCTTGGTTACAAAAAGTCTTTGTAAGTGACGGGGGGAAAAGTGATGGAATCCCATCCAAATCCCTTGACCAACAGGGATCTGAGACACTAACTTTATTTTGTTGTTTTTTGTTTTTTAAAGATTTTATTTATTTATTTGACAGAGAAAGACACAGCGAGAGAGGGAACAAAAGCAGGGAGAGTGAGAGAGGGAGAAGCAGGCTTCCCGCGGAGCAGGGAGCCTGACGCGGGGCTCGATCCCAGGACCCTGGGACCATGACCTGAGCCGAAGGCAGACGCTTAACGACTGAGCCACCCAGGCGCCCCTGAGACACTAACTTATGAAGAAATTAACATCCACAAGGATAATGGCACAATGAACCTTCAAAAAAGTATGAGGTGAATATTGAAGGAGTTAAGAGAGGCCTTTGGGGACATCATTGGCACCCTAGAATAATTTTGCAAAAATTAACTTTATGACTTAGGTTAGAAAAGTCAAATGCTAAATAATTTTGTAGGAAAAACTCTAATCCTTTTACCCTCCTTCCCCACCAAAAACAAAACAAAACAAAACAAAAAACCCCCCAAAAAACCCTCATTTGATTCGTTCTTTGTTTACTCAAAGAATGAATCACATATTGCTATTATGATCTAAATTTTATTAAAGATAGGCCTATTTTCAAAATAAAGTTTCTTCCCCATTTTTTTTTATTGTGGTAAAATACAGATAACAAAATTTACCATCTTAACCATTTAGAAGTATACAGTTTAGTGACATTAATACATTCATACTGTTGTGAAACCATCACCCAACTCCCAAAATGAAGGATAAAATCATATGATCATCTCAATAGATAACAGAAAAGGCACTTGACAAAATTCAACACTCTTTCATGGTTTAAAAAAAAAAAACCTCTCAACAAATTAGGTATCAAGGGAATGTGCCTCAACATAATGAAGGCCATATATGACAGGCCCAGGGATAACACCACACCCAATAGTGAAAGGTTGAAAGCTTCTAAGATCGAGAGTATGGCAAGGAGGTCTACTCCTGCCACTTTTATTTGACAC